CGTAACGATTCGAGTCGAGTGTCCTCATCTGTGCGTCGTCGCATTGTAGATCTCTATAGACGCACTAAATGGGATCCACTGGACTCGTCTACTCATAAGATACAGCAAAGATATGCATAACAGCCAATTGTAATCCATGAATACAGGAAAATGTGAAATCGTTTCAGTTAATGGACTATGAGGTACGTGTTCGAAATTGAGAGATAAAAACTGACGTTAAAATGCGTGATCCACTGCCAATTTCTTCACAATTCGAATTAATTTACGGTTCGATAAAGTACCCCTGTAGAGTCAAGAACTTATTAAACACATAGAAGGAAATTTGTATACAATTTATACATGTATGTATACAATGTATACAATTTTGTATGTATGCCATGTATACAATTTTTGTACCGTAAGCCTTCAACTCCACGGATCCTCCTCATATGAGGGATCCCGATAGCCAGTTAGTCGCGAGGCTACGTGGCGCGTCAAGTGGAGGATAGTGGATTAATCGCGGATCAAAACGACCTTTGCTTCCCTGAGACGCAAGTGGATCCAGGGGATGGACTTCCTGTTTCTGCTGCGCTGATTTAGCACATACTTTCTGTATTTTCGAGGCGTATTCATGCACGCGTGTGTGGGTGAGTTCTCACTTATGCGGATTGTATCCTACGGGTCAATTCGGCCAAAAGTCTGTAATCAAGTGACTGGGATGTATATGGCAGGCGGTTAGGGAACTCCTCCAACAAATAAGCTCCATGTTCACTCAGGGAGAGCCTGGCAAGCTACCCGTGATTATAACTAGCCTCCACGTTCAGAGCCCACCTGGCCATACGTATATATCAAAAAGCTAAAACAGTAAAGAAAAAAACAGGCCTCATTCCTCTGACCCCGAAAGAGCCCCCAGTTCGGCAGCGTTGGGTAGGACGAGTACGGAGAGGCGGCTAAAATCTCAGGGCCAATGGAAGTTGCCTGGATTACAAAGAACTATGGTGACGATCTGTACCTACAATGCACCTACACTTGCATCCGAGTCCTCGATAGAAGACTTGCTCATGCAAGCAAGAAGGATAAAGTACGATATCATCGGCCTGGCTGAAACGAGAAGACGCCACCCATTCAACGCCATCTATGACACCGGAGAAGAACTGTTCCTCGGAACATGCTACAGTAGAGGAGTCGGCGGCGTCGGCGTTTTCGTCAACACAAGTTTGTCCATGAACATCGATTCATTCGAACAACTTACAACCTGAATCGGACGTTTACGATTAGGAAGATGTGGATCAATACCGGCTTTGACAATTTTCGTCCTCTACACGATGACATCAAACTATGACGAAGAAGAAATCGAAGCGTTCTGCATGGACTTGGAGAAGTTCCACAGAGGAGACCATACATTCCTCAAGGGTTTTAATTGGAGATTCTAACGCCAAGATTGGACCAAGAAGAACGTCACATTGGGTGCCACGGGTTAGAATGGAACGAACAGGGTGAGCGTCTGTCTGAGTTTATCATGGCGACCAAGACATGCTAACTCGCTATTCCAGAAGCCCCATTCTCAATGCTGGATGTGGGAGTCTCCTATTGGAGAGTATCATAATGAAATAGACCACATCATAGTAAATAGAAGGTTTTGCCTAACCGATGTCGCTGTTATCCCAAAATGCAGCACTACATCAGACCATCGTCTCCTTTGTGGAAGATTCTATTTCTCGAGGAAAGGAGAAAAAGCCGCTAAACTCCAAAACCGAAGTTCCCGAACCACCGTAAACTGGGATTTATTCAATTCATTAGTCGGCTCTTGGGAACACCCCGTTGTCGATAACATCGACGAAGAATACGATCGGCTCATTCAACATCTTCACGCTAGCGCTATGAAAGCTCAGAGTACGAAAGTCACCAAGAGACGTCTGTCTCCAGAAACACTCGAGCTGATACGCCAGCGTGGAATCGCACAAGCTGAAGGCAACCGCGAACTAACGCCCGAACTTGCAAAGCAATGCAGGAAGGCGATAAAAGAAGATCTTAGAGAGAGAAGAGCAGCAGTAATGGCCGAAGTTGCAGAGGCTGGGAAAAGCATTCGCAGAGCCCACCGAAGCTTCGCCAATTACATGACCAAAATGATTGCTCTCCAGCGCCCAGACGGAACAGTTACAGCGTCCAGAAAGGCAATGGAGAAAATCATTCACGAATACCACTCGGATCTCGTCGATAACTACGTCCACCTTCCGTCATATGAAATAAAGGAGGATGGATACGTTGTACCACCAGTTCTCCCTTCCGAGATCCGACCCTGAACACCTGAAAAACCTTCCGCCAGTCCTCGTAAACACACTGACTCGGTTCTTCATACGTTACCTGTCTGAATGCAAGGTTTCTACTCAGTGGAAGACCAACAAGACCGTGTTATTGTTCAAGAAGGGTGACCTGCACGATATCGGCAACTATCGCCCAATCTGCTTACTGTCTGTCGTCTACAAACTTTTCACTCGAGTCATCCTAAACAGGATTGGCACTAGGCGAAGAACAGCCATGTGAGCAAGCAGGGTCTCGAAAAGGCTTTAGTACGATGGACCACAACCACACGAGAACAAGGCTCATTGAAGTATCGCGAGAGTACAAAAGTCCACTCTGTCTCGCTTTCATTGATTTACAGAAGGCCTCTGATTCAGTTGAGATGGAAGCAGTCTGGAAAGCCCTTGATAGTCAAGGAGTCCCTACTCAGCACATAAAAATTCTTCATGAGGTGTACAAAAATTTCACAACCAAGATGTCACCATTCTACAACGATATTAACGTTCACGTCAAAAGAGGAGTTAGACAATCCGATACCATCTCGCCAAAATTATTTACCGCCACCCTCCAGAACGTCATGCGAACATTGGAATTGGATAATATGGGAGTGAAAATTGACGGTCGGCAGTTACACCATCTTGGCTTTGCTGACGACATCGTCCTTATAGCACCAAACATTAGCCAAGCGGAACGTATGCTTGACGACTTTGACAGAGCCTGTGGAAATATCTCGTTTCGACTAAATCTCACAAAAACGATGTTTATGAAGAACGGATTGGTTTCACATGCACCATTCACACTCAACGGAACGAATATCTCCGAATGCTCTAGTTATATCTATCTATATAGGAAATCAATATGATAAACGACCTAGTTCCAGAGCTGAGCAGAAGAAAACGAGCGGCTTGGGGAGCGTTCAAGAGCATCGAGGATGTAGTGAAGAGAACAAAGAACATCCGACTCCGTGCTCACCGTGACCCGTGACTCAACAGTACTTCCTGCCCCTCAGAAACCTGGTCGCTGCGTAAGCAGGATGAAAGCTCACTCAGCGTTATCGAACGCGCCGTCGAAAGGACGATGCTAGGAGTATCCCGTTCCACACAAGTAAGGGATGGGATCCGAAGCTTCGATCTGCGTCAACGATCAAAAAGCAAAGATGCTGTTCTGTACGCCAAACAGTCGAAGATAAGGCGGCCCGGACACGTAATGTTGTTAACAAGAGCCTTGACGCAAAAAGAAAAAGGAAGATGACGCTTTCTGAGCTTCACAAAATCGGAAATCAATCCTGGCAGAATATGGATAAGTTGGACATTGTATCCGAAGATCTGCAGATTTTAATCTGCAATTAATAAACTGTTCTGCAATTAATTAACTAATCTGTGAGCCCAACTACATGGTTTAGTTTGTTCCAATATGTTGGCCTTGGTATGTTGGTTATCACGCGTGATATAGGGCAGTATATAAAACTGCTTTTCTGATGTGAGGGGCACATTATACTTCCACGTGATTTCTGTGCGGTTGGTCTCTACGTGACATACTTAGTGGAGACCTCATAGAAAGCGGTGAGTGTGCAAAGCTGTGTTCAAAGTGATTGAAATCTTGGTTTGGGGTTTCTTTGTTTGGTTATGGAGGCGTCTGGCCGAGTGAGTTGCTATCAACTTGACCTTTCCAGGCTCTGAAGAAGGCGAAATTCGCCGAAACGTCAGCTTAATCGTGAACAAAGAACAATAACACCTCGCGTTTGCTCAAAAAAATACGAACAAAATCATGTTGGCCTTGAATTTAAAGTAGCCAATATTTTTGCACCAAGTGCATTGTGCTCAATGCATACCGAGGTATACGTGTTCTATGTTAGTTCTCAGACTTCTTGTTAAAATGTTATCAGTTGTTTCTTGCACGTGATCAGAGGTCAGATTAGTTTTTTTTGCATTTCAGTTCCGCAGTTAGCAAAACGTCCTTCGTTCTGGAATGGATGGCGATCGTTCTATGTCCATTAGAGCTTAACACCGGTTATCTCGTCAAAATTTCCATTGACTTTTAAAGTCTCCGTCACCGTGTATTTTGCACCTGTTAACATTTTTGTCGTGACTGATACCATTTCGTTCGTCTGCATTGATAGAACTAAAGAAAATTGGAAAGTCAAGTAATTTTCCTTGCTGTGTGTGGTACATTCTGGGAGCAAATCACGTCCTCCACACAGCATGTCTTTGTCATGTCACAGCATGCTAGCATCGTCAAAAATACTCAACAATTTCGATGTACCTTAAGTTAACAAACATGTAGTGATTTCTTTTCGTTCCAAGTAATTTATGGGGGCATCTAGCCTGTCTGTCTGTGGTTTCTAAGAACTGCGTTTGTTGATCATTCAACACGTTAACGAGGAGAAAGAGAAACAGAGTCTGCAACTGAAGCCGGACCCACGCGCTCCTATTCCTCGTTGGATTCCTCCTCTATACCTCTATTCCTCTATTCCTTCTATTTCTCCGTGGATGACCGTTACGAGGTTACGAAACGAATGGAAGAAATGTTGGGACTGAAACGCCATATGAAGAAGATGAGTAATCTAAGTAGGTGCTTATTGATTAGAAAACTAGTCACAACAAACACTTTGCCTTCCTACATGCCATGTATTATTTTATATTTTCAACGTTTTTCTGTGAAAGATTCAGTATTTATCTATAAATGATGTTATTCTCTTTTCATTGAAAGTATTATTCTATTCATTTCGCTTTTTCACATGTTCCGAGCATACCGAAGATACCATTCTGGCATGTGGACACTGAATTTCCTCTCACAGTATAGCCGGCGCGACAGGTGAGTGTAGCAGTCGCTCCTGCCGAAGCTGGTAAGCCCGAACTGTACTCAATATCTCCATTCAGAGGGGCGATCAAGCCGAAATGGCACATTATTTCACCACCAGCAAAAGGAGTCAGCATGTTGTTACTTGGAAGAATGCCAGAAACACCTTGAAAAAAGGACAACAAAATTCTCTTTGAAAAACGGTAAATTTCATAGGAAATGCTTAATACCGCTACTTATGCATGAACCAAGCACCGGTGGTATCCATATGCCATTCTGACAGACCGCGTTAGAGGCGCCTGAAATCAGGAACAATCAGGGGAGTGTAAGCAATTCGAAAGAGAACCCTTTCGTTAATTGTGCCTATAAGTTTGTGTGCTTTCTTCTTTACATGGATGTGAAGCGCTTTCCTTCCACGTTTAATGAGAACTATCGATGCAACAAATGTTCGTAGTTGGTTGTCTGGTGAGTGAAATTGCAATAGAAATAATATTATGGTTGCAAAAAAATAGAAGAAAATTCTGTAGATTCTACAGCGTTGACCTCTAAAAACCAACAATAGCTGAGAGACAAGCGAAACGAAGGATCCGCACGGTGTAATGATGAAAGCATTAGCCCGGGAAAGGGTAATAGCCCGTTCGTCCCCCATCGAAGACATCTGCGGTCCGGAGTTTTGCAAACCTCGACATCACTGTGGTTGTACTTTTCATTATACCCTGCCGTGAAAAATTATGGTAGGCAGCAAATAAAAGGCTAACATTATAAATATTTCTCGCTCAATGATCAGATGCTTTAAACTAAACTATTCCCTTCACTCATCATCCAATAAAATTCATGCTTACTTCGAACACTACTGGGACTACACCACATACTCCACATTGCAGCTCTCCATTTCAAAGAAAGTAACATGGCTAGAGCCTATTTCAAAAACGACTTCATTTTTCCTGTTCTCTCAAAAAAAATAGCAATCATATCGAAGAGATCAGTGAGCGTTGCTAACCTGTTACCGGTGTGTTGTCGTTACATTTCATCGTAACTGTTGTGCCATGAATCTGCAATCCAGCGAATCCAGAGTTCATCGAGCCATTGCCGTAGGTTAGCGTTGCGCCTGATGGCGCCAACATGGGCAGGCATTGTGCACCTGAATTCATCACACTTAGACACATTCTCTTGGGAAGCGAACGAAAGTTTTGCACCTAGGGTACCTGTTGTCCCTCCAGACGTTCCAGACATTCCCCCGATTGTCGAACAGGTGCCGAACGCTGATGGGCGCCATTGGCCTCCAATGCATGTGAGCATCGACGGCCCTTTGAATAACAGAATGGCACTAATAAGGTTGTAATTCGAAACACCGACTTTCAATTAATTTCAGCAATCTGTTATATCGACCTTGTTATACCAACACGAAGTTGTAATAACTTGTTTTGGAATTACGATGGCTAACGTCTCGACGATTTTGCCTTCATCAGACCTAGGCTATTTTAATTAGGTCAATATCCCTCGGTACTAATAAAAACTTAATTCACAAACAAAAAATCTCTCTATTGAAAAAAACAAATTGTTTTCTTTCCGAATAAGGCATTATTAGTGAAGAGAACTTCTAGCTCTTTTCAATAGGATCATATTTTCGTTTTGATTTACGGATCTGGGTTTCATTTGTATCGCCCAATATTGACCAAGTAGTAAAATATAACTAGATAATACGTGTACACTATGAAGAAAACGAAATCGCTGAAAAGACAGCTATCGTAATTTAAGAAAAAGTGATAACAGCGTCGCGTTGGCTCAACAAGGATAGCTAGTGAGATACAATGGTATTGTACTTAAAAGGTAGTCCGAAGCTTAAGAAGCTTTTCGCGTCTTGCAAAAACCCTTCAAGTTTCTTGTATAGTCTGGGCTCCTTACCATTTATCATGCCACCATTGGTGCAAACCGCTGTTATAGTGGTTCCCTCTGAAATCTGCCCAGTGAACGACATTGCAGCTCCAGAAGGTGCCTGGATTTCAGGACATGCTCCACCTGAAACCAAAGCGAGAAAGCTTTATAGTTCTCCGGAATAAAACTTTCTATGGTTTCTCTTCTCTTAGTCACTTTTTTATTTACTGCCTATTCTTTTTGTGACAGAGCACGATGTGAGACACCTCAGTACCATTGTAGAGACGTCTTTTATTAAGATATATTTCGTTTACATGTGAACCTTTCTATTAGCGTGCTTTCAAAGGAATCTTTTAAATAATAGTTTTTAACATCTCCGACAGCATAAGAAACCTGGAATGCATTATGTAGGGGTAATATCTCAGTCAAGAAGTAGACATCTTCACTTACCGTATACACTAGAAGGAATTGTTACTATGCCAAACACATACAGAACCAGATTCAACTCAGCTCTTCCCATCTGAACTTAAGAATTTTTCAAACAACGTTATAAAACGATTTAGAGCAACATAATGGAGCAAAGTAGAAACCAGAGAAGGATAGAAAGTGGACGTTAGGAAAAAAAGAAAGCGAGACGGACCAACTCGATTAGTTCGGAGGTTATTTTATAGCGAGGCGTGCTCCTCCCACACGGTACTGCGTTGGCGATCTCATCGGCAGGGAATTCCTAAAATGCTCTCGCTCTCTAATGAACGATGGAAAAAAACAGCCTATCAAAAGAACATCGCATACCAAGCAGCTTGGTTTTAGGCTATCACTCAAAACTTAGAAGAAAAACTTTGTCGAGGAAGTAACTTTCAGGTGCTGCACTCCCTTACAGAGTCTGTGCGATTCAGCAGAAGCCGACAGTTCCCATTCTTCAACGTTTCTTTAAGCAAAAATAATAGCTAAAAATCAAGACGTGTATGGCAAAATGATAATGAGAAAACCGTAGCTGAACCGAACCATCTGCCGATTACAGGTCTACAAATCGATCTTGCTCTGCGCCATTTTGAAAGTGATGTTTACTTTGCAGATGCTTTTTATGAACACAAAAAGTACTTCATCCTATTCCAGATCAGTTCCGACTGAGGCTATGATAATCACTAAAGTTAATTACGATTATTAGGGATGATTAACGCATAACCCGTGAGTGGATACCAATCAACGGTCGCAAATCTGGTTGATACCCTTGGTACAATCACCAGATTATTTTTGTTGACCGACACCATAACTGGTTTGATTAATTTTTCATTTGTGCTAACGAGTCGTATATTGTGATATCGTTCCCGATCTCTTTGTCCCTTGTTAATCTTTAACCAATGCCACAAAAGTAATCCGTTTCAGTGGAAAGGGTTCGCAAAAAACAAAATACGATGTGATCTATGGAGTCTTCGTGGAGGCTTATCAACCACATAAGAAACGCTCAGCATCTATTTTTGGCTTTCAGCAGTGAAATCACCTGTGCTGCCTGCAATCGCCTAAACATCTCACGGAGTCACCAGAGAAGTTTACGCGCCGTACTTCGTTGACGACCTCGTTACAAGCTGACCCTGTATCCTGTAAGTGACGGGGGTTGCCAAGGTGCTAAAACTGGACCTACTCAGAATAAGTCAATAATCCAGACCTCATTTGTATTCAAACATTCAGGAGCACAATGGAGAAGACTTTGAAGTAGGAGTCACTACACTCCCACAGGAATCGAAAACATCAGCGCGTAACTTTTGAAGCGTTTTGGATCAATTCAAAAAATTCAAAAATGAACCGCAAGGAGGAGTGTCTTACCATCACGCGTGACCTGGCGCCATACCTCAGTCTAATCCAATGACCTGACATAGGCACAGCCCTCGCCCATGTATTACTCTGTGCGGCTGCTATCCACCAACTAACTTAAATACTTACAACAAATAAACGGCTTTGAAGAAGGCGAAACTGCCGAAACGTCAGCTATTGTATCCTAATAAATTCTATAATAACAACCTCGTGTCTGCTTATTGAAGAAAAACATCGAACATTTAGATTTGTAAAATTTTCAAACCAAGCGCGGAAATCACAAGTGCCAATAACACTTTGCCTCTTATTAATGAAACTCGCTCATCTAGTTGTCCTTGTATTCGAAATATGGGCAGAGAAGCACAAAAAGGGTAAACCTGTACACGTCCTTAGTTCTAGAATTTTCGCGTTTCATCTCAGTGGTACAAGAAAACTTTGTCTATTTGGCAAATATTTACAAAATCTACCAGTTTTCATTATGCCTGATGAACTTCACCATAAGCAGAAATCTGTTCAGTTGAACTGCGAACCAGCCGTCTTTTTCGCACCATATGAGCGAGATATGATTCATAGAGTCCTGACATCGCCACAAGTACCACAAGTAAGTGAAGCGCTCGATGTTAATTTCTCTTTTTTTAAAATATACCCGCCGCTGCACGAACCTTCTCGTGAACTCGGGAACAAAATTTTTTGGGAACGGTTGCTTATTTTCCACCAGATTTTGAGTTGATACAGGCGTTCACCGATTAAACTCCTCAGCGATAGATCATTTCATACTTCATAAGAGCTTTGGATTCGCCTTCTACATCGCCCTATGTCAGGCTATTTTTTTATTCCTGTTTCCCTTTTTGATTTCGGTTTCAACATTACGTCCTAATATTAGAAAGGTAAAACGAAGGAATCGTTGTCGAGAGGATACTTTACTCACACCTACATCGTGACGAAGACCTGAAAACGCCTTTGTAAGGTCAAGTCAGGACTGAAGCAAAGATCAAATTGTCCAGCCAACAATAGGCCGCCCCAGTGTCCCCACACACTGGCTGCGTCCGCCAATGATTTCTGGCGCCAAGACTGGATCTGAGAAACACACACACACACAAGACGCGCCATGGATATTGTTTTTCCTCCTGCATGTATAATGCCACAACACTCTCAAATACTGACCCTCATGCCCTTCTTGGAGCTTCGGATTGCATTGAATTCCTTGTGATTGCTGCACGAAAAACAAAATCAAGAAGACCGATAGACGCCAACTAAACTGCACTCATACGCAGAGAGAAGGTCCCATCACCAGATGTAGGTGGCGTAGGTTTTGTCGTCTACCAGTTCATTGTCCATCTTGTCGACTCGTACGAGATCCTTCTCTTCACATAGCTCTCCTCCTTCAGCTAACGTGTCTAGGAGATCACTAATAGTCACTAACCGATACAGCTGTTCTCTACGGACTAGGAACATTCTACTATCAGTTGGAGGAATTTATTGGCATTTTGTCAGAAATTGGTTGTTAGGGCTTCAACGTCAGAGTAGAAAAGAACAACGAGAACGAACACAGAATTGGAAAATCTGGATTAGGTGAAAGAAATGGGAACGGGAGCCGCTTTTCAAAATTCCTATCTAGACACGTTCTGCTTCATCGAAACTTGTTTTTCAAAATAACAGAGAGCCACCACTAGACGTGAGAGTTTCCTAGCTGCACGACATATGTGGTTATTGGCTGTTTTCCTACAAATGGAAAATATTACCCAATCGACGCATCGGTAGTCCCATAAATCTGTACTAGGTCCGATTGCAGCTTTCAATGTGTGAAGATTTGGTTCAGCTATTGGACCAAGAAAATTCCAGACGTATATATACATTGCCTGACGAAAAGGTTCTGAACGAAATCATATCCAAAAGTGACTGAAAAGGAAACCTCGATCGAAAACTACGGGTTGCTTGTCGAAGAACTTAGAAGCTGCGCCGAGCTTGTCTCAGTCTCTCAAGCAAATAGATGTCAGATCGCATCTCTATTACCACTAAGGAGTTGCTCCAGAAGAGAAGAAAACCGAAGCATGACCATATTAAAACACACTTAACACTCATATGAAATGCTGAGATATTTGCAAAACTCCGGACCGCAGGTGTATGCGAACTAGCTGAGAGACAGGCAAAATGAAGGACCCGGTTGGTGTGGTGGTGAAGTGCGCTGCTCCCCAGTAAGGACAACAGCGCGTGTTCGTTCCCCACCGCATACACCTGCGGTCCAGAGTTTTGCAAATATCTCAGCATTTCGTACGAGTTATATTTCGCAACATACCATGCCATTAAGAAGAAAAAGGCAGTAAATAAAAGGGTTAAGATACTTAACACTGTTAGTAGTAAATGCGAGTAGCTAAAGAACCTTAGAAGAACACACACATTTGTATAGGCAAAAGGAATTATTACAAACAGCGCGAAAAAGAACGGAAAAGAAGAAATTCCGTCGGGATCTGTGCAAGTATTTACAATGTTCCGCTATCAGCACAGGTGAACCAGGATAGGATCACCAGAACTCCTCGCCATGACATGAAATTGATAACGGAAAAGCTATATATCAAACCTTTCTTTCCCACGATTTCCGTTCCAAACACTAAAAACACCGCTAGAGAAAAACCACTTAAATTTCATTCCTTCGGGGTTCGAGTTGCGATAAAAGCACGAAGAAAGAAATATCGTCCTATGTGGTTGTTGAGTGTGCTCTACAAGGTCTTTACGAAGATCGTCCTGTAGCGTATGTCTAAGATATTGGATGCAGCACAATCATTTGAGCAGGCAGAATTTCGACGACGGCTTCGCAGCATTGGCCTCATTCAAACCGGGTCCAGACTCATAGAAAGTTTGTCGGAAGTATAACCATAACCTGAAGTATCAACGTCGAGCAAGGAGTGGACCCGTCCTAGATGAGAATTCCGTCTAACTGCTATCGTAACTGCACCACAAAAATACAGCTTTTCCATTAGCCTCTTATCATAACCATAGAAAAAGGAGTTCGACAAGACGATGCGATATTGCCAAAACTGTTTAGTACCGCAGAGCAATCGACAGACAACAAAGTCTCTCGTTTAGGATAAGTAAAGCACGCGTATTGATGGAAATTTTCCATCCAATCTTGGCTTCATAAGTGGCTTCGTGATGTTTTCGAAGAGTACCAACGAAGCGAAGGCGATGATCAATGAGATAAACGAAACAGGGAGAAAGATCGGGCAACTATAAAGTACGAGAAGACCCAGTTTTTGAAAAACCTGTGGTGTGAAAGGGACAGATCAAACTTTATCATCCTCCGATTCCAGAGACCACCTGGTGCGTGCACGTTAAGCGTTCAATGAACATGGAGAAGGATAAGAATAAGGAATTCCATGGAAGAAGAAAAGCAGCTTGAGCCGCATTTGGGTTTTTCAAAGAAGACGCTGACGAAATAAAAGACCCGAAGTTCAGCGCTCACCTTTCGAATTCAACGGCCTGCTCAAGGACGTGTTATGCAGCATGGACGTGGGATGATAATTCAACCACGTCAAGTGTACTGCGCACTTCTCACAAAGCGTTGAACAATATCTTCCGAAATATGGTCGACACACTTAATATTTAGCTGAAATGCGAGACACAGATCATCGGAGTATGCCCTATCTTTGGGATCCAGGAAAACACACATCATCAGCGAAACACAGATGAGCCGGTCATACAATGAAAAGT